GCTTAAATGCCTAAAATGCAGGGAAGGGGAGCCTGGGAAGCCCACTCCCCGCAATGGATTTTTTGGCACCCCAGAGCAAAAACAGATATCTGCCCTCCCGAATTCTGGAGGCTCCCAAAAAATGGATCGGGGCCCCCACTGAAAGCCGGGACACAAAACAGGTCAAGGTTTACCCGGATTGCACAAGCCTCTTAAAAACTCCATATTTAGGGTACTTATTCCATGCTGGAATTCAACCTTGTTTCAGCTATGTAAATTTGCAGACCCCAAGGAATGAAATGCTTGGACCAAATCTAAGATTATGAAGTGATCTTAGGACAGTGATACTTCTTAAGAGAATACTTCAAACCATACTTTCTGCCTGATGGACGGTGGTTTTAAAGAGGAGGTGTTGGATGGTTCAGCCAAAACAGCAATGTCCCCTTCTGTCATAGGAAGTTATATCTGTACAATGTGGTTATGTAGAGGCATGGAAGGACTGTACCATGCCAATCCATTCACATAGTTTAAATTAAGAACATTACTGCCATCGCGTAAACTCACAACATGACAGTTTTGATGCAAACGACACACGTGAAAGAAACCAGATTTTTATTTTACATTAACCCTGGGATCTTACCTCTGAATGCACTGAAGGATAAAAACTGTACACATTTTCCATTCAGTGAAAAAGCCCGGACACACTGGCAGGCAGGCAGGCAGGGTTAATCTCACTGTGATTTCTTGCTTTTCTGCTGAACTATAAATCATCCGGAATGGCAGGCTTCTTTAATCAGAGATAGACCAGACCTGGCTTCGGTTTGCATATCAGAGCTCTTGGCTGGGCAAGAAGGATGGGGAAGCTTTGCATGCTCTTTCTGCGGGACTGACAGCAGCAGGTGTCGCAGGATTTCAGCCACTTTGTGCACCCATGTTCTCAGAAGATTGCCTTGTATTGTTGGATTTCAGCCACTGAGGGAGACGTAGTTTTAAACAGGGTTTTCATGGATGCTTCCAATGACTGAAAATCCTATGTGCCTGCTTTTGCAGAGGGCCTTTGTTTGCAAAAATGCTGATGTGTAGACAAAGAGCTGCCAAGGAACAGAGTTGGACAGAAAATACTCCCTAATACTCCCTTAATTCCCAGCCACATGAAGTACCAACCTATAGATATTTTCCATGTGTACATGGCCAGAGAATGATAGACTATAGTTGTGCCATTGTTAAGATCTCACGTGTGCCTTCATGCCTGTCAAAGTCATAAAGAGCCAATCAACATCTGTAGAGCCACAAAAGTCAACATTGACACTGAAATACAACACTGCCTGAGCTCTGCGAGTGCAGCATTTTTCCGAATGAAGCAATCCAAAGCAGCATTTTCCACTGTCAAACAGCTCTTATCTTCAGGAGGTTCTTCCTAAAGTTTACGTGGAATCCCATTTTCTGTAGTTTTGTCCTCCACAAAAGTCAACATTGACGCTGAAATACAACACCAGCTGAGCTCTGCAAGTGCAGCATTCTTCTAAATGAAGCCGAGAATGTTTGAGGACTGGGACATCCGTAGGGATACCAAGGTGCTTGCTTATAAAGCTATTGTCCTCCCAACTCTGCTATACACCTGCAAAACAGGGACTATCTACAGACGTCACATGCAAATTCTATAATGATTCCATCAGCGTTGCCTCTGAAAAATCCTGCAAATCTCTTGGGGAGACAAACAGACAAATGTCAATGTATTGTCGAAGGCTTTCATGGCTGGAATCACTAGGTTCTTGTGGGGGTTTTCGGGCTATATGGCCATGTTCTAGAGGCATTTTCTCCTGACGTTTCGCCTGCATCTATGGCAAGCATCCTCAGAGGTAGTGAGGTCTGTTGGAGTTAGGAAAATGGGTTTATATATCTGTGGAGTGACTGGGGTGTGGCAAAGCGCTCTTCTCTGCTGGAGCTAGGTGTGAATGTTTCAACTGACCACCTTCATTAGCATTTGAAGGCCTGGCTGAGCCTGGGGGAATTTTTTGTTGAGAGGTGTTAAGATGTGCCTGGTTGTTTCCTCTCTGTTTTGCTTACAGGAGAAAATGCCTCTAGAACATGGTCATATAGCCCGAAAAACCCCACAAGAACCTAGACAAATGTCAGTGTGCTGGAAAAACAAAGACCACCAGCATTGAACCGATGGTCCTCTGCCATCAATTCCGCTGGACCGGCCATGTTGTCCGGATGCTCGACCACTGTCTCCCAAAGCAGTTGCTCTACTCCAAGCTCAAGAACGGAAAATGCAATGTTGGTGGACAGGAAAAGAGACTTAAAGACAGGCTCAAAGCCAACCTTAAAAACTCTGGCATAGACACTGAGAACTGGGAAGCCCTGGCCCTTGAGCTCTCCAGCTGGAGGTCAACTGTGACCAGCAATGCTGTAGAATTTGAAGAGGCACGAATGGAGGGCGAAAGGGAGAAACGTTCCAAGACGAAGGCACATCATGCCAGTCCCGACCGGGACCACCTTCCACCTGGAAACCAGTGCCCTCACTGCAGGAGAACATGCAGATCAAGAACGGGGCTCCACAGTCACTGACGGACCCACCGCCAGTACACCGATCTTGGAAAACAATCCTACTCGGACAACGAGGGACCACTTAAGTAAGTAAGTAGCCAGCTTAGACTAATGAAATGATTTATTGTTGTACACCAATGAGAATATGTTTTCAATCTCCTGTAAAAGTGATAAAAAGCATTGCAACCCCATTTTGGGTGCAAAGCTTTTCCATGCACTTCTGTATGCATTTTGTTATTGCTAGGCCTGCGATAAAAGCCTTTGTAGTAAGAATCCAACTTGTTGCCTCCTCCTTGCACTGCTGCCTGGGCCTTTGGGGGACTCCTAAGCTTATACATTTGGAGTGCTGGTGAGCCCCCACCCCTACATTTGTGCCCCTCCACCACAACTCTATCGCACTGGGTACTAGGCTTTTGATTATTTACTAGCTGGCCAAGGACAGAACATGGCAAAGTTTCTGTTGTTTGTTTCTTTTCTTCTGGATGGAACATTCCAATCTTTTGGCCATGCTGGCAGGGGGATTTTGGGAGTTGTTGTGCAAAAACACCCCAGCATTTCTTACTTCTTCTGCAACACTTATATTTGGAACCAGAAAACGTAACACAATGTCACTGTGATTTCCAATAATATAATTAAGACAGAAAAGAAAGTCATTACAAAATATACAAAACCCAATAAAATGGTCCACAGAAACAAAACAAAAGACTGCATGATTAAATGGGCAAGAAGTATTAGACATCCAATTAAGCTGGAAGAATGGAGGGGAAATATGGAATAATAAATTAAAATATACATACGCATATGATTTGAAGGAAAACTGGTATAAAATGATGCACCAATGGTACGTAACATCCCAAAAGCTGTCAAAATGTTACAAAAATACAAAAGATAAATGCTGGAAATATGAAACACATGTGGGTATTTTTTACCACATGTGGTGGTCCTGTAAAGCTGCAAAATGTTATTGGAGATATATACAAGAAAAGATGCAGAAAATTTTGGAGATAAGAATTCAATTGAAGCCGGAGTATTTCCTACTAGTTTTCTAAGATCTACAGAGATACTCGCTGGAACCACCTCAGCAAGTGAGAGTCCAAAAGTGGCAGGCTAAAACCCGGAACCTCAAGCCATGGCTGATACCGAATGAGAGACTCCCTCCTGGCACACAGAAGACTGGACAACTTGGAAGGTGCTGAACAGACTGTGCTCTGGCACCACGAGATGCAGAGCCAACCTTAAGTAATGGGGCCACAAAGTTAAGTCCACGACATGCAAGTGTGGAGAAGAACAAACCACAGACCACCTATTACAATGCAGTCTGAGCCCTGCCACATGCACTCCAAGTGGAGAGCTACTGGTCAAAGGGCACTTAATATAATGCCAAGTCTTTAAAACTTTGTATTTTTAGATACATTACAACTGTACCCTTGGCTTGCTTCTGATATGATAAATAAATTCCTACTAGGCATGATAGACATGGAATTAGACAAAAATAAGGACAGATTGTTTAATTACTGTGCGAGAAATTGGGGATGCAAAGAAATCCCTACAATAGAAGATTGGCTATTGAAAATAGCCGATATAATGAATATGGACAATTTGACACAACTACTAAATAACCAACAAGGCAAAACAATAACATAAAATAATAACGGACTGGACACCTTTTAAAGAATTCTTGAGACGACAAAAAATGAAAATGATAATAATAAAATAAAATAAAAATGGACTGGACTGGACACCTTTTAAAGCATTCTTGAGACGACAAAAAAGGAAAATGGTTAAAGAGGTATTAAAAGACGCTTGGAAATAAGGAAGAATGGGAGAAGAACTATCCAAAGAAACAAAATGTTATGAACCATGATGAGGAAGATTGGAAGTCAACAAAACCCCCTTTGTATTGTCAAAGGCTTTCATGGCCGGAATCATTGGGTTGCTGTAAGTTTTCCGGGCTGTATGGTCGTGTTCCAGAAGCATTCTCTCCTGACATTTCTCCCGCATCTATGGCAGGCATCCTCAGAGGTTGTGAGGTCTGTTGGAAACTAGGCAAATGAGATTTATATATCTGTGGAATGTCCAGGGTGGGAGAAAGAACTCTTGTCTGTTGGAGGCAAGTGTGAATGTTGAAATTGGCCAGATTGATTAGCACTGAAAAGTTTTGCAGCTTCAAAGCTTGGCTGGTTGCTGCCTAGGAAGGGATCCTTTGTTGGGAGGTGTTAGCTGGCACGGATTTTTTCCTGTCTGGAAATCCCCGCTCCTCCTTGGAACTAGGAGTCAAGGACCAACTTTAGCTTGGCCCCTTTCTCTCCATCCCTCCAGCGCCTGGGATCCAAAGGTATTTATTCTGCTCCTGAAGCTAGTTCTCCTAGTATCCATTTTCCTAGTTTTCAACAGACCTCACAGCCTCTGAGGATGCCTGCCATAGATGCAGGCGAAATGTCAGGAGAGAATGCTTCTGCCACATAGCCATACAACCCAAAAAACTTACAGCAACCCTTCCCTTTTCACCCTACCTTATTTTATACCTTATATTCCCCCAAAACTATTGTTTTTTTATTTCCACAAACCATACCCATATATCACTCCCAACCCCATTACCCCCATTTTAGAATATTGTAGAAATATTTTCAATAAAAATTATTATCAAAAAGAGTGAAAAGTGATAAAACTGCTGCTATAATATTCTTGAGTTCCAGCTCAATTTTGCAATAAGGAAAAAAAATGATTTGCAGTGCAGTTTTGCTATGATTTCCCAACTTTGGTGAAGCCTTTTTTCCTCCTCCAGCATTTGATGCAGTGTAGCTGAAATGTTTATCTGAGTGGCAGCTCCAAGTTCCAGAAGGCAGGAATGCTTTCAGTGATGAATCCAATTGTACATGATTAGTGCTAAACTGACGAGGCCGACCAAGAGGCCAAAAACGAGCAGCGTACATGCCTGGGAAGGAATTAAGACAAACAGATAAATCCTGAGCAGCAGAAAGCAATTTACGCTTTGATTCATTAAGTCCGTGATTAAGGGAACATTATTTCAACTCGTAGGTGGCAGCCGAGTTAAATGGTTGCATTTAAACAAACATGCTCACTGTGTGCATCTTGGGGATATTCGGATCTGCTCACACAAATGGGCTGCGTTTTGTGGTTGAGGAAATGACTTCACTCAAGGATTTGCCTTCTCAACCGGGTAAAGCTATCGTAACCTCCAAGACAGAAATTTGGCAAGACACAATTATTCGCACTTTTTGATAAAACAGTATTAGTGGAATGAACTGTGCATGACCTGATGTGTGAAAAAAGGGGATCTACAATGAAATTAAATTAAGATCTCAGATTAAAACAGGGAATTTTACCCTTGCAAGGCATATATAGCAGCTCAAATTTCTTTTAGCTCCAAGATGCACCATAGCTCATATGTCTAGGTTCACACTCAGAATACGGAAGGCTGTGTGTTAACTTGGTATTCAGGTTAGAAAGAACTTCTGTTTGGAGACCTCTTGTGAGTTAGGTTAGGACAGACATGGGTAAACTTTGGCCCTCCAGGTGTTTTGGACTACAATAATAATAATAATAATAATAATACGGAGCCCCCGGTGGCGCAGATTAAACCCCTGTGCCGGCAGGACTGAAGACTGACAGGTCGCAGGTTCGAATCCGGGGAGAGGCGGATGAGCTCCCTCTATCAGCTCCAGCTCCTCATGCGGGGACATGAGAGAAGCCTCCCACAAGGATGATAAAAACATCAGATCATCTGGGCGTCCTTGCAGACGGCCAATTCTCTCACAACAGGAGCGACTCCTGACATGACAATAATAATAATAATAATAATAATAATAATAATAACCATCTCCCCAATGGGGACTCGGAGCGGCTTACATGAGGCCAAGCCCAAACAGCAAATTACAATAAAATAAAACCAAAAACGCAAAAAATAAACAACAAACAACATAATTACAGAAAACATATGAAAACATAGCAATATAAAATTACAACAGGCACAATCACAATGACAATGGGAGGACTACATGTAATGATTAAAAGAGAGACTGATTAAAACTAATTAAAACTCAGGCAAGATAGGAGAGAGACAGATTATTTGCAGAGGAGGACTCATTATAGTGGGGGTTGTGGAATCAGGCTTTCCCACAAAGGGGGGGACGGGACATATACTCCAATGACAAAATGTTGAGGCTAAGCAATAGTGTCACTCTAGGTGTTATTATACTTTTTTGTGCATGTCAGGAGCAATTTGAGAAACTGCAAGTCGCCTCTGGTGTGGGAGAATTGGCCGTCTGCAAGGATGTTGCCTGGATGTTTTGATGTGTTACCATCCTTGTGTGAGGCTTCTCTCACGTCCCTGCATGGGGAGCTGGAGCTGACAGAGGGAGCTCATCTGCACTCTCCCCAGATTCGAATCTACAATCTGTCCGTCTTAAGTCCTGCTGGCACAAGAGTGCCACTGGGCCTCCTGTTATTATACTGATATATTATATGCCTCTTTGCCCAGTTTTTACTAGGAGGCCTCTTACAGTACATTTAGTTTTTAGGGGTTTTTTTTGTTGAGAAACTGCAAGTCGCTTCTGATGTGAGAGAATTGGCCGTCTGAAGGACGTTGCCCAGGGGACGCCCAGATGATTTGATGTTTTTATCATCCTTGTGGGAGGCTTCTCTCATGTCCCCGCATGAGGAGCTGGAGCTGACAGAGGGAGCTCATCCACGCTCTCCCCGGATTCGAACTTGCGACCTGTCAGTCTTCAGTCCTGCCAGCCCAGGGGTTTAACCCACTGCGCCACCGGGGGCTCCAGTACATTTAATAATGGCAAATAACATGATCAACAACTAGAACCAAACAACTTTAAAACAATATTTAATGTGTATTAAAGCAATGCAAATCTAGCATCTGGATGCTTGTACATAACTGGGCCATACTTGCTGGTAGATTATGGGGTGGGGCGTAATCTAAAACGTTAACCTTTCCAAGCATTATTCCTGTGGGGATGGGATTTTTGCACCTGTGTGCTAAAACCACATCTATCTTCTTGCTTTAGCAATTCAAAACACAATGAAAGCATCGCACTGACATCTTACCCCAAGTTTATGTCGTGAAACGAAATCTTCTGTGCTGATCTTAAGGTAAAACAACCCAGGGTATATAAAAAGTAAACAGGTTGATGAGGTAGAACCTTGAAAAAGGTAAGAGGAATGTTATTTTGTTATACACCCTCTCACACAGATATTTTATAAGGAAGGAAAACACAGAGGAAGCCTTACCGACTACTCCAAAAAGTTGTGTGATGTCAGGAACATACATTGCAAGCAAGACGGCAGTTGCATTGAGTGCTAAAGTGACGAAGATGTGGCGGGTCAAGGAGAAAGGGAGATGAGAAAAAAATACCATCATCACAGCTTTCCTTGCCTGGGGAATTCAAAAGACAAAAATATATGCATTTGAATGAGTAAACAAACAAAAACAACCCTCTGGAAAGTTCTTTTTGTTTAAAAAACGAAAAAGCAAAAATAAAATTGCATTATTTTGGTTGTTGACAGACACAATAAAGACTGGATACTAGGCATGGGCAAACTTGGGCCCTCCAGGTGTTTTGGACTTCAACTCCCACAATTCCTACCAGCCTGAGCAAACTTGGAATTGTGGGAGTTGAAGTCCAAAACACCTGGAGGGCCCAAGTTTGCCCATGCCTGCTGTATATTGTTGGAAACGTAAACAGAAGTGAGCATTAGGCAAACAATTGTATTTTCTAAGAGAGTAAATAGAGATGGTATTCTAATAGATAAGAACGAGATATCTGAAGCAGGCATGGGCAAACTTGGCCCTCCAGGTGTTTTGGACTTCAACTCCCACAATTCCTAACAGCCAGTAAGCTGGCTGGGATTTCTGGGAGTTTAAGCCACTCCTCATAGGGCTTGTTCTCCAGACCTTTTGCCTGCTGTACAGTGTATGATTGGTTACTGTGTGAACTAGTAGAATTCCCCAGCAATTCCAGCGTAAGTTTGAGTCATGCAGCTGTGTACATCTTCTGCCATTTAGCTTTGCTGGTCAACCTGAAGCTCTAATACTCAAAGAGTGAGGGAAACAGGCTTTGAGATTTCAAGAAAGCTTTTTGCTGACTCCTCTTAGCTCATAAATATGCATGCTTGCTTGAAAATGTCATATGAATACTAGCCAAATAAATGTTAAGATTCTGGAAACAATGCTATGATTCAACTGAAGTCCCAAACTCTTTCTTTTTCTACTTAAAAAAAATTAAAATTAGCATAGCATCTTAAGCCTGTGGTTAATGAGAGCCCAAGGGTTTGGATCAACCACTTGAACGTGGGAGACAACCAAGACTAGATGGCAAGGAGGTCTGGAAATAATTAAGGAAGTCATTTTTGCGGGGCCAAGAAATCAACTTGCTTGCAAGACTTACGGGAAAGTGGATGAGGGGAACCGTCAACAGCACCGCACAGAGGATGCTCAGCTTGACTGTCATGATGACTGTGTCATGGGGCAAGTACCTACTGTATCCTCGCAGAAGTTCAGAATCCACGTGGCCTGAAATGGTTTTTAAAAGACGGGAAGTAGGGCTCAATCATGTATGTAACACCACAATAATAATCATCATCATCCTCATCATCATCTTGGGTTGTTGTAGGTTTTTTCGGGCTATATGACCATGGTCTAGAGGCATTCTCTCCTGACTTTTCGCCTGCATCTATGGCAAGCATCTTCAGAGGTAGTGTCAAAAAAGAAGCACCATTAAAGCCTTGGCAGACCGTGCAAAAAGAATCTGCAAACCCCACCTCCTCCAAGATGAACTGAACCACCTCACGTTGGCTCTACAGGCCAATGGAGACTCCACCTCAGACATCAGAAGAGCTGCAAGACCGGGAACAAACCACGAGAATAAAGATGGAGATTCACCCAGAGGAAAAGTGTTCTTGCCATACATCAAGGGAACCACTGGCCGCATAGGGAAGCTGATGAGGAAACACAACATACAAACTATCTACAGACCCACCAAGAAAATCCAACATTCAGCAAAGGACAAGAGGGATCTTCTCACCTCTGCAGGAGTTTATACCATGCAGCTGTGGACAAGTCTACATAGGGACCACCAAAAGCAGCAGCATTGCCCTAACACGAATCAAGGAACATGAAAGGCACTGCAGACTACTCCAACCAGAGAAGTCAGCCATAGCAGAGCACCTGATGAACCAACCTTGACATAGCATATTATTTGAGGACACAAAAATGCTGGACCACTCTCACAACCACCATGTCAGACTACACAGAGAAGCCATTGAAATCCACAAGCATGTGGACAATTTCAACAGAAAGGAGGAAACCATGAAAATGAACAAAATCTGGCTACCAGTATTAAAAAAAACTCTAAAATTCCAACAACACAACAACAGAGAGGAAGCAAGCAGGGACATCTAATTACCTCTCAACAAAAGTTTGCCTCAGGCACAGTCAGGCCATTATATGCTAATCAAGGTGGTCAGTTGAAACATTCACACCTAGCTCCAGCAGAGAAGAGTCCTTTGTCTCACCCTGATCATTCCACAGATATATAAACCCTTTTGCCTAGTTCCAACAGACCTCACTACCTCTGAGGATGCTTGCCATAGATGCAGGCGAAACGTCAGAAGAGAATGCCTCTAGACCATGGCCATATAGCCCGAAAAAACCTACAACAACCCAGTGATTCCGGTCATGAAAGCCTTCGACAATACAATAATAATCTTTATTTATACCACGCCACCATCTCCCCGGTGGGGACTTGGAGCGGCTTACATGGGGCCAAGCGAAATAAAGCCAAAAACATAAACAACAAACATCATCACAAGTACATAGGGAAAAAAAACATTCCAATAAACACAGTCACGATAACAGTGGGCAGGCCACATGTACAGGATAAAACAATTAAAAGACTCTAATGAGATCAAATAGGAGCAAGTTATAGGCAAAGAGCTCATAAAAACAAAACAGAGTTGTGAAACTAAACTTCCCATTTGGAGGGTGTGTACTCCAGTGGCAGAAGCGTTGAGGGGAGCAATAATATGTTGTACACCTACTTGCCAAAGGCGAGGAAATATTAACCAAGGGTTCCCTAAAGAGATCAGAAATGGTAAGCAAGCTTCTTCAAAAAATGGCTGGCTTGCTCACTATTCCAATGAGAAATTTAACAATAGGGCATTAAAACAGGTAAAGCAATTTGGCTCATTCATTTTAAGTTTGCATCAAAAGTACTACAATGAAGTGCAGTTCACAAACCAAACAGAAAAGAGCCCTTAAGACAGTGGTTCTCAAGCTGTGGGTCCCCAGATGTTCTGGCCTTCAACTCTCACAAATTCTAACAACTGGTAAAATCATAAAATCATAGAGTTGGAAAAGACCTCATGGGTCATCTAGTCCAACCCCGTGCCAAGAAGCAGGAAAATTGCATTCAAAGCACCCCCAACAGAAGACCATCCTGCCTCTGTTTCAAAGCCTCCACCACACTCCGGGGCAGAGAGTTCCATTGCTGAACAGCTCTCACAGTCAGGAAGTTTTTCCTAATGTTCAGATGGAATCTCCTTTCCTTGTTCCTAATGTTCAGATGGAATTTCTGGGAGCTGTAGGTCAAAACCCCCGGGAACCCACAGGTAGAGAGCCACTGCCTTAAGAGGATAAATTACAAACTAAATGTTCATATGGCATGCATGCTTAGAAACACTTCTTACAATTAAAATAGGACTGTATACAGGTTGAGGATCTCTTATTCAAAACACTTGGTACCAGAAGTGCTTTGGAAGAAAGGGAGTGAGGGGAAAACCTTGGGTTTTAAGTCAGTTGAAGTTGCTGTCATGTTGTGTCATTTTCCTATATAAATATAGAGATTGAGTATCTGTTATCCAAAATGCTTTGGATCTGGAATGTTTAGGATTTCAGGCATTTTTGGACTTTGGAATATACCATATATACTTGAGTATAAGCCGAGTTTTTCAGCCACCTTTTTAGGCTGAAAAAAATCTCCCTTGACTTATGCTCAAGTGAGGGTCCTGGTGGAAAGGTGTGGGACTGAAAGAAGCCCCCTGAGCCAGCAGGACTGAAGACCGACAGGTCGCAGGTTCGAATCTGGGGAGAGCGCGGATGAGCTCCTTCTATCAGCTCCAGCTCCTCATGCGGGGACATTAGAGATGCCTCCCACAAGGATGGTAAAACATCGAAACATCCCGGCGTCCCCTGGGCAACGTCCTTTAAGACGGCCAATTCTCTCACACCAGAAACAACTTGCAGTTTCTCAAGTCGCTCCTGACATGACAAATAAATAAATGCATTTTAATATATGTATGTCTCAAAATATGCTTTAATTGTCACATTTTATTATGTTTTAATATGTTATTTTATAGATGTCTTGAACTATGTTTTGCCTCACCGCAGGCCAAAAGGAGAGGTGGGAAATGAATAAATAAATTATCATCATTGTCATCATCATCTTGGAGAAGTAACCCATGTATAACACAAATTCATTTACTTTTTATACACACACACACACACACACACACACACACACATATCCATACACACAGAGAGACTGAAGCTAACTTTAAATGCAACATTTTTGTATAATTTTGTGCAGGAAACAAAGTTTGTACACATTGAACCATCAGAAAGCAAAAGAAACACTGTCTAAGTCACCCAACTGGACAATTTTAGAATTCCAGATGCAGGATGCTCAACCTGTAATGCACTTTATTTATTAAAAGTCATTTTTCTACTGCTCTCCAGCCTCATAGATCCTCAGGCAATATAAAACATACACAGGCAAAACTAATTGTGACAAGACAACACCGCATAAAACAATATTTATAAAAACAATGCAAAGGCTTAAGCAAAGCAGACTCAGATGAATGCCAATATTTCAATGACTGGGCAAAGAATAACTAGAAGAACCCATATAAGAGAAAGAAGAAGCTCTGGTGGGCCAATGCTTCTTCGGAGCTAGATCGGATCATGGATAAACTGAAAGATGCCATCACATCATAACAACACTTGAATCTGTTGCTTCCAAAATGGTTATAGAGAAGAGTAAAGAGGTCCAGGATACTGCGTAATAGGCAAAAACATATTCCATGAAATTCATTTTTAAAGCTAATGACGTGTTGCAACTCTCTACCATAAGCTAGTGGGTGGGGTGCATTAATAACTTTTTGACCTCTGAATCTTGGCAAATTAAACTCTGGATGATATTAAAGAACAGCTAATTGGGAACAGAATGGGAGGACAACCACAATTTTGCAGCAATGGAGGATAAGAAAATAGGCTGTTGTACAGTTAAGGTAATTAAATACGCCATCTTTCCCTTCCAAACAGCAAAACAGAATGGAGGGAATATTTTATTTCTAGTGACTACATTTAGTCTCCTTGAACAAATTTGATTGCTGCAGAGATCTTAATTTCGACATGACAAAGCTGTGATGGTTGAATGAGAGAGAGAAAAAATGAAATATGGAACTAAAATGGATGAGTCTAGCAAAACCAAATAAACAAAACCTTCAGAGATAAACATGAGGCTAATTGAATAAGCAGAAATGTCTATATATGTTCTTTTGGTCTCTATTGTCACAACTGATCCTTAGAAGAATCAAATGGAGGAAGAGGAGGAGGCAGATTGCCAGGAATTTAAAGCTCCTGATGACAGTGGTTTCTCCGAACCTGAAGAACTGGAAGCTGAAACAGATGAGGGGCTTTACCCTAAGCAAGAGAACGCAGACACAGAAGAAGACACATTACCATCATTTACAAAGGGATGAAGAAAGAATGAGAAATTACACCAATCCCGGCAACAGTTAAATAGGAGACGTAAGTGGCTATCAATCTCCCAGCAGATCACTGCCACTCTCAACTGTTCTCTTTTGGTCACTGGAAGTACTCTTTGTTGTTAGTGTTTTCCTGACCTTGGACTGGTTTTCTTTATTTGGTTTTGCTGACTGGCACAACCTGGGGATCACAACCAGACACATTGAAGACATCTGCCCTTGTGCTATGCTACTCTGCTGCTGAGTACGCATGCCCAGTGTGGAACACATCTCACCACACTAAAACAGTAAATGTGGCTCTTAATGAGACATGCCGCATTATCACGGGGTGTCTGCGCCCTACACCACTGGAGAAATTACACTGCTTAGCCGGTATTGCACCACCCGACATCCGGCGGGAAGTAGCAGCCAATAGTGAAAGGACCAAGGCAGAGACATCTCCAGGTCATCCCCTGTTTGGGTATCAGCCAGCACGTCAATGACTTAAATCTAGAAATAGTTTTCTAAGTTCTACAGAGACACTTGCTGGAACACCTCAGCAAGCGAGAATCCAAAAGTGGCAGGCTCAAACCCGGAACCTCAACCAATGTCCGATACTAAATGAGAGTCTCCCCCCTGGGCACACAGAAGACTGGGTGACTTGGAAGGTGATGAACAGACTGTGCTCTGGCACCACGAGATGCAGAGCCAACCTCAAGAAATGGGGACACAAAGTGGAATCCACAACATGCGAGTGTGGAGAAGAGC